GAATATAAATAGGATTGATATTGACTTTAAATAAATTTTTTGAGACAGGCTCTAGTTATGTTATACAAGCTGGACTAAATTAAATTTTTGAGTATCGTAAAAATTCTCCAGTGACATTTGTTTATCCCCCTTTTAAAAAAGATCTAGAAAATGATGTTTTGGCTGGTCACGATAGCTCTTACCTGTAATCTCAGTACTCAGAAAGTTGAGATAGGATTATTACTGATTTCAAGACCAGCTTGGGCTATATAGTGAGTTCCAGGTCAGCCTGAGCTATGGAATGAAATCTTATATAAAAACAAAAAAATAAAGAGGTGGGGTAAAGGGGAATGGAGGGATGTCTCAGCAGGTAAGAGTACTTGCTGACACTCTTGCAGAGGATCTTAGTTCAGTTCCTATCACTTATGTCAGGTAGCAGATCTGATATCTTCTTCTGGCCTCTGAGGGCACTTGGACTCACATGCACATACCTGCACATAGACATACTGACATACACAAGATTAAATAAAAAAATAAATCTTAAGCCCAAAAAATGTTTTGATAAATGTTTATTATGGTAAGTTAATGAATAGCTCAGAACTGTTTCTCATTAGGGGCCTGTTGGTATTTTGGGTAGGTCATTATTTCATTGTGTAGAACACTGCAGGATATTTAACATCCCTGCTCCTCAGGTTCTAAGTGTATGTAGCTATCCTGCTCCTTGTGATGACCACATATAGTCCACCAACCCCACCCTACTCAAATGTCCAAAAACCCCAGAGAGAAAAAGCCGCTTCTGTAAGGAAAGCTGTGATTCAATTCTCTCTTGAGTAACAGCATAGATCCTGGAGTTAGAGCTGAAATGAAGCTGCATTTTGTAAATTAACCTACAAGCTTTCCTCAACATTGCCGATCCAAGGAAAGTATTCTGATTTCTAATTTCTGTTTGCTGGAAGCTCTCTACCTCTATTCTCTATGAATATTCCTCCTCTCAATTTTGTGTGTATGTGGTGGTTGTTTTGCTTGCTTGTTTTTGAGACAGATTCTCACATTGTAGCCCAGGCTAATCTTAAACTCAAGGCAATTCTGCTTCAGGTTCCTGAGTGCTGAGGTTACAGCACTCAGTGGTGTGCCACCACTCCCAGCTTAAATGTTCTATTTTTTTAAAATGCTCTAAATGAAGGTGTACGGCACATTCTGGAATCAAACTGCTTTACATATATTCCTTCACTTTGATTCCTGGTTAGATCTTCCTTTAACTTTTTATATGACATATTGTTCATTAAGAACATATTGAGGGGGGCTAGAGAGATGGCTCAGTGGTTAAGAGCACTGTCTGCTCTTACAGAGGACCCGGGTTTGATTCCTAAGACCCACATGGCTAAGAAATGTCCATTAACTCCAATTCCAGGAGATCCAGTGCTCTCTACTGACCTCCATGGGCATTGCATGACATGGGTACACTTACATACATGCAAGCAATGCACTCTACATAAGACCCTGTCTCAAAAAAAGGGGGGGGGGGCAAAAACACAGCCTGCATTCATGCATAGATACGGTATTTAACAGAGTAATTTAAATTATTCCCAAATGAGTAAATATAAATGTCTTAATAGTCAAGATTAATAAATATTATGAAATAAGATTTCAGGCTAGACTATATGAATTTGCACCTTAATTTTTCTTTATTAGTAAGCTAATTACCTACTTTATAAGTTGTTTGCCTTAACATAGAATCATGCCTTCTTTAAATGCCAGCTGTATTCTAGGATCTCATAGTTTATTTGGGTGGTTGCTTTTGAAATTAAGCATGAATCGCCTCTTCCTGTAAGCCTCCCGAGGTGACCTGTGAAAATGGTTCACTACTCTCTTGACGCAGAAAACCCTATAAAATCATGCAAATCAGGAGGTTCCAATCTTCATGTTCACTTTAAGAACACACATGAAACTGCCCAGGCCATCAAGGGTATGCATATCTGAAAAGCTACCAAGTATCTGAAAGATGTCACTTTAAAGAAGCAGTGTGGGTGCAGTTCATAGGTGGTGGGGCTGGACACAAGGTCGGTGGCCCAAAAAGAGTGCTGAATTTTTGCTGCACATGCTTAAAAATGCAGAAAGTAATGCTGAACTTAAGGGTTTAGATGTAGACTGTCTGGTCATTGAGCATATCCTGGTGAACAAATCGCCCAAGATGCAACGCAGAACTTACAGATCTCATGGTCGCATTAACCCATACATGAGCTCCCCCTGCCATATCGAAATGATCCTTACTGAAAAGGAGCAAATTGTTCCTAAGCCTGAAGAGGAAGTTGCACAAAAGAAAAAGATACCCCAGAAGAAACTGAAGAAACAAAAACTTATGGCACGGGAATCAATTGAGCATAAAATAAAGACAGATAAAAGTAAAAAAAAAATTAAGCATGAATCTAGATACTTTAAAAAAACAACAACAACAAAAAATGTCTATTAGAGGGACTGGAGAGCTAAGCTAGCTCAGAGGAGTGGTTAAGAGCACTGGCTGCTCTTGCATAGGTCCTGGGTTTTGTTGCCAGCACGTATATGGCAGCTAACAACCATGTATAACTTGACTTCCAGGGGATCTGGTGCCTTCTGGCATTCATGGGCATTGCATGTGTGTCATGCACTTATATACATGCAGGCAAAACACACACACACAAAGTTATTTTATATTCTTGATATATCAGGTTAAAAAAATCAGTTATTCAGCTTATTTTTCTCCACCATTCACTGAGAGCAGACTTCCCTTCATCCTAGATCAGACATCTGCAGTGATGGCTTAAGTTTGGATTGATACATTGTTACTTCTAGCATGTGGGTCAGTACTGACAACATCAAAGGCCCTTGGGACAAGGGCAGAACCTGTAAAGAAATAAGAACTAGACTCATGATAGTAGAACTAGACTCATGATAGTTTAACTCTATGTTTAGAACATTTAAAAAACAGTTTTTAATAAAAATTGTAGGCCTGGAGCTAGACTCATGCCATTAATTCCAGGACTCAGGAGGCAGAGACAGGTGGATCTCTGTGATTTCAAGTCTAGCCTGGTCTACATAGCAATTCCCAGGCCAGCCAGGGCTACATAGTGGAGACCCTGTCTCAAAAGAGGTCTGAGATGGCTTAGCGGGCAAAGGTACTTGCCATGCAAGCATAAAGCCTGGAGTTTGGATCCCACGCACACAAATAAAATCATCTAGCAACAACAGAACAAAACAGAAATCAATCTCTCTCTCATCTTTTTGAGACAGGGTCTCCCTAGAGCCCCAGCTGGAATGGAATTCACTATGTAGACCCGGCTGGCCTCGATCTCACAGAGATCCATGTGCCTCTATGTCCTGCGTGCTGGGACTGTAGGCCTGGCTTCTCTCTAATGTTTTAGCAGTATTTGGGATCAAACCCAGGGCCTTATGCATGCTGGGCAAACATTATATTGTTGAGCTACACCCCCAGCCCTAAAATAATTGTATTTAAAAACTATATATACTTTGAGTAAATGAAATATTTTCCTTCACAAGTATGGTTAGCTTCTTATGAATACAGTTAAGAAAGTCGTGGGATTTTTATAAATAAGCAATACCTTGAAAAAACTTTTAAATTATTTTGGTGGTGGGGGGAAATTATTTATTTTATGTGTTATCACTGTTTTACCTGAATGTGTGTGAGTGTACCACGTGCATGCATGCCCACTGAGGCCAGAAGGTCCCCTGGAACTAATGGTTGTTAGTTGCCAGTGCTCTTAACCTCTGAGCCAGTTCTCTGGCCCCTCTATAGAGGTTTGTTTTTGTTTTGTTCTTAAATATTTTATTATTTTTATTTTATGTGTATGAGCATTATGCCTGTGTGAAGTAAGTACATCCGTGTTGTGCAATGCCCACGGAGGATAGAAGAGGCTGTTGGATTGCCTGGAACTGGAGTTACGGACAGTTGTTAGCTGCCATGTGGGTGCTGGGATTCGAACCCAAGTCTTCTGCAAGAACAGTCAGTGTTCTTAACCACTGAGCCATCTCTCCAGCTCCTCTATAGAAGGTTTTTATGAAATGACTCTTTAATATTAACTAAATTAGAGTAGGAACATTTTTCCCCACCAAAAAATGACATCCTATCAGCTAGTAATACTTCAATTTATTTTTTAATATTGGGTATTGCTTCCAGGGCCTCACATGTTACGTTCTAGGCAAGCACTCTCCCAGTGAGCTGTATCCCAAGCCTTTTAAATATTTTTGAAATTAAAATGAATAAAAGACAGTTTTATTGAGTTTTCTTCCACTAGCTCCAAATTTCTGAAAACTTAAGCATTACTATGCTGTTTTTTGAGTTGTCTGATTAAAAATAAAAAGAATTTACCACCCAACCATGGTGACATGAGCTGGTCAACAAATGCTGAAGAGGATGAAGCAGGAGGATCACAAGCTGGAGAACAGTCTAGATATACCTTTTAAAATAAAAGGTAGAGGGCTGGGATGCAGCTCCGTGGGAGCACGCTCCTAGCAAGGCTCTGGGTCAATTTCTAACACCTAAAAGAAAAAAACGTATTTGGAGATTCTTCCTTATACATAAACAGAACATGGTCTACATCAGCAGTGGTAAGCTTCAACAAATAAAAGATTCTTGGCCAGAAAGGTGGCTCTACAGGTAAAAAATCTGATGATATGAGTTTGATTTCTGGAACTTACATTGGAAGGAGAGATCTGACTCTCAAAAGTTGTCCTTTGACCACCACACATGTACTGTGGCACTTTGTGCACCTGGTACTCAGACACCCACCCACACATAAAAAGTGATAAAATTAAATTTAAAAAAGAAAAGATTCCCTCACTGTTTCATATGTGTAACAACTAGTATTAGAATGATGGACTTTTATATTTATGGTTTTATAACTTATGTCTCTGAGTTAAGATTCTGAAAATTTCTTTGGAAATGTCCATGGGTTGGGGAGTAGAACATTTGCTTAGCATGTGTGAAGCTCTGAGTTTGATCCCTAGCACCATAAGGAAGGAAAGGAAGGAGGAAGGCAAAAGAGGGAGGGCTGAGGGTTAAGGGTGTGTGAGAGATAGAAATGCCTGTAAGTCAGTCACTTCCCTGAATCAGACCTTTCCACACAGTTTATAATCTGTTTTTTCTTTTTCTGTTCATTTGAACTCCAAAGTGATTATCTGCTTTGTTAGATTCCCAGTATATCCAAGTCCATCTTACTTCTACTAGTTCTATAGTTCTAGTTCTATAAATTACATTGTAATCATAAAACTAAAATTTTTACACATGGTTCAGTGTTAACATTATGGTCACTGAACTTCCTGTTATTATTGGTTAGTCTTTTTTTATACAGTGACTAAAAGTTTGAGCTTCTGCCCCTCCAGAATTGCCCTGTTCAATTGTATTCATATCACTCATTAATAACTATATTCTGGTTCTTTTCAGGTAAATAAAAATGTCAAATTTACTGCCCAGGAACTTTATGATTGTGTTTCTCAGACTGAGTATCGGTAAGTCATATCTGTGTGTAGATAATGAGATATCATTATAGAAAGCTTTTACCTTGTTTTGTATCAATCGTGTAGAGGATGTGAAGCCTTGTTTTTATAATTCTGTGTGTGTGAGTAGTGTTGTATTTGTGTATATGTTGTGAGTGGCCATTACCACAAAGTCAGGACCCAGGGGAGATGGCTTACCAGGATTCAGGAGAACAGCAGGCAGAAGTAGATTCTCTCTTGCAGTGGGTAAGTAACAAGGAAAGGAATTTGGGCATTCCTACCACCATACAGACACTATCATAAACAGCCAGTACTTGACTCCATCAGCACTATCTTGCTTCAGAAAATAGTATCTGAGAGTGATCACCCATTGCCAGAATACTGACTTATATGAAGTGAAGGAACACATTGCCACTGAGCTGAAGAAGATGATCTCCTCTCAGAAAATGGGGCAGGGGAGGGAGGGGTGGTAGGGGAGGGAAGTAGGGGACACACAGAAATAGATTCAGAAACTAGTTACTGAAAGATGTGGGATTTTTTTCAACTATGGAATAGAATGAGGAGATGAATAGGGGCCTGTCCTTTGTTTTGTTTTTAAATTTATGAAAAAACATTTTTATCTTGCTGTTTTGAATTTTGTAATGCTATTCTGAAAATCATTGTTGAGTAGTTGTGAAGAATTGGCAGCAGTATCACACAAATTTTGAGTTTAAATAGGAAGTAACTCAAAGCCAAAAGTCAGGTTTTAATTAGTCTCAGAGAAACCATAAATCCTCAGGAAGTGAGTCTGTTCAAAATATATATTTACTTTTGTTGTCTCTCCTTCCTCTCATACTATTCTGAGTTGACTGGCTTCTTTTCCTTTTGTTGTATGTAAATCAAGGGATCCATCATGTGGGAGAGATACAGTCCTCTTCAACACTGAGAATATGGCTCTGAGCTATCCTTGAAGCCAAGGAAGTAATGACATCCTAAGTGTGATAAAAATGACTATCATTTTATAAATACCTAACATGCCAGAGGTTGTACTAGATATTGAGTATTCTTCCTGAACTTGCAAAGATTGTTTCCTCTCAATAGATATAAATACTTTAAATTACAATTTGGGATCTCATAATTTGTTAGCTTTTGATAGTCAACTGGCATCATCTTAGGTTTGTAAAATTTTTAAAAATTTTGTTTTTAAGTGTATGAGTGTATTGTATGCATGTGTGTAAGTGCATCCATGGATACAATGCCCCCAGAGTCCAGAAGAAGGTGTCAGATCACCTGGAACCGGAGTTATGGATGGTTTTTAGCTACCATGTGGGTGCGGAGAACTGAACCCAAGTCCTCTGCAAGAATAGCCAGTGGTTAAGGGTGCTTGCTTCTTTTCCAGAGGACCTGGGTTTGGTTTCTAGCATCTACATATGGCAACTCACAACCATCTGTAACTCCAGTTCCAGGGGTATCAGATACCTTCTTCTGGCCTCTGCAGGCTCCTGCATGTGTGTGTGATACATGGCATACACATACACATATAAATCTTTTTTTTAACTAGTAATTTAAAAATGGGATATGTTAGGCATGACTTCCCGCTTCTTCACCTTCAGTTTAGAATTCCTAATACTTATTTGTTAACTGGAAGGCAACTTATGCCAGCAGTCCTTTGTTTGGTTTGTGTAGGGGTGGGCACATGTAGGTCAGCAGACAACTTGCAGAAGTCAGTTCTCTCCTTCTATCTGTTGGTTCTGGAGACTGAACTCTGGTCATCAGGCTTGGCAGCAAGTACTTTTACCCACCAAACCATCTCGATGGCTCACCAGCAGTCCTTTCTAATAGTGGCAGCTTATGTGCTTGATTTTTCTCGTGTCTGTTCCCTCAGCAGGTGAGCTCTACAGTCCACCAGTTAATAACTACCAACTGTCCTACAGTGCCACTTAGCACTAAACAAAACCTACCTCCTTTTATGAGAGGTCTTTCAGAGCGTAAAGTAGAACCAGGCTGTTAAAACTCAGCCCATTACATAAAGTATTGTTTAAACATGTAACTTGTTTGCAGAGGTCTGCCATGGGAAGCCTTATTCCTGAATTCCAGAAATTACATCAGAGTCTTCGCAATGTTGGGTATCTAAGAATCTGTGCTTATCTCCTGTTTGGCTTTGCTAAGAAACTATAATTGTTGGTATTTTCTCTCTCAAATACTAAAGAATGTATTATCTCATATTAAGAATTCTGGCTGATGGCAGAGCACTGTCTCACATGCATGAGGCCTTAGGTGCAATCTTTAGTTCTGTCCCCCAAAATTAATTTTTAATTGAATTTTTTGTGTATTTATACAGAACAGCTCAAACAATCTTAATCATAATCATCTTTATACCCCACCCCCGGACTGGAGCCCATATACTTGGTCATCCCTGTTAAGGCCCACTGGGTTGTCAGTGTCCCCAGCTGTTCCCTAGTGCAAGTCTGTCCACTAAGTCTAGTCAGCCTATCTAGAGTCCCTTGTTTTAGGAAGATCATCTCTTCTTCATCTAGCAACAATCAGTTGCCAACATTCCTTCAGTTAAGATTGAGGTCTGCTGTTCATTTTCCTAGTTCTATGCTGCGTTATTGTCTGCCTGAGTTTGCATGGGATTTGTGTATGCTGACACCATTTCCATAGAATCATATGAGCAGGTTCCCAGGAGCTTGTAGGACTCTGTTTCTGTATGGTCATGCACCTCCTCCCTGGCTCTTACAATCTTTCTGCCCCCTCTTCTGGGATGGTCCCTGAGCCTTGGGTGGGAGAAGTTTAATAAAGGGATCCTGTCCAAGCACCAGCATTCAGCAGACAATCTCTACACTTTGGCTATTTGTGACCATTTGTGTTCCTGGTCCTCCGCTGCATGAGGAAACTTCATTATTGAGAACTGAAAGATTCATTAGTGTCCTCTTCTTTATCCCTGTTTTATGCTCCATAAGCCTTAGGTGTAGAGGTTGTATTGTAGATGTTTCACTTAGGCCTAGGCAATTCAAAGACAATGTCCATGTGTAGTTGTTATACTTGGTAATAGTCTCTGACTGATGCAAAACGAGCAGCTTTCATGAGTGGTGACTGGGATATTTGTCTGTAAATATAAGGATAAATATTTTGCACATAATAAGAAATCACGTTAGTCTAACAATGTGACAGGCTTGGGGTTTTCTCTTAAGATCTGTAGCCACTCTAGCAGGTGTATTATGTTATGTTTACAGTACCACACTTGAAGTTTTCCCTTGGCACCTTCATTAGAGCTCTCCAAAACTATGAGAGCTCGCCTTCAGGGGAAGTAGTTTGCAGGTCAGTTGCAGCTCTGTTGCTCCAAATCCTGTGTCCAAAGTATGTTCTGTCTTTGGCAGTAGGGTCTTACCTTCAAGTTCTAGGAGGCCATCAAGGGCTGTGGCAATAGGCTAAGTAATTTTCAGTCTCTTAGGCCACCCTGGCCAACAACTCAAAGGAAGGTATTTCCTGTCTGGCACTGTTCTTGTTATGTAACCTTTAGCTATACACCTGGACTCATGTAGAGATTATGTATACTTTGTCAGTAGGTTGTTGAACTAATATGGTTCCCTCTGGGTGTTTTAAAACTAGGCAGTATTTTCCTCTCTCTCTCTCTTGCCCTTCCACCATGGTTTCCCTATTTAAAATGCCACTATTTTCCCCATTTCTCCCTTGATAGTACCTGTCACCGTAGTCCTACCTCTCTTGAACTCCACTTTTCCCTTTATGCCCAAGGTTCCTTGTATAACAACCCTCCCATTTTTATCCATTTCTCCCTTAGTTATGTCTGGATACATATTCACAAGGCGCTAGGATCCACATATGAGGGAGAACATACGTTGTGTTTTTCTGAGTCTGTTACTTCACTTAGTGTAAGTTTCTAGTTCCATCCATTTACTTGCAAAATTCATGATTTAGTCTTTCTTTACTGCTGAGTAGAACTCCGTTGTGTAAATGTATCACATTTTCATTAGCCACTCATTAGTTGAAGGACACTTAGGTTGCTTTCAGCTCTTGTAAAAAGAGCAGTAGCAAACATGGGATGTACAAAGGTCAATTTTTAATATATCCAAGGGAAATGGAATTAGTATGTTGAAGATTTCTTCACTTGCACAGTATAGAATTATAATGGCTAAGATAAATCAATCTAAAGGTCTATCAGCTGATCAATGAATAAAAATATTCTATTTGTATACTATTAGATACTATTTCTCCTTCAAAAAGAAGGAAGTCCTGCTATTTCAGACATATGGATGAGCCTGGAGGCCGTATTCATATATATGTATAATGTATACATTTTTTAAAATTTTACATGTATGAGTATATTGCCTGCATGAGTGTATTGCACCCATGTTGTGCAATTCCCTCAGAGTCAGAAGAGAGCATTGGATTTCCCTGAAACTGGAGTTACAGACAGTTGTTAGCTGCCATATGGGTGCTGGGAATCCCAGGTCCTCTGCAAGATCAGCCAGCACTCTTAACTGATGGGCCATCTCTCCATCCCCCAAAGGCCATTATATTGAGAAAAACAAAAACAACTGTATGATCTTGCTTGTAGATGAGATCCAAAAAAGCTGAACCCAGAAACAGAATGGTGGTCACTAGGGTTAGAGGTAGTGGTAGAAAGATTAAGTAGATGTTGGTTAAAGGACACAAAATGTCAGTTATGAGAAACGAAAGAAATTTGTAAGCTGTGCATGGTTGTATATACCTGTAACTCCAGCATTAAGGTTTACCTATCTAAGGAGGCAGGAGGCTCTCCATATTTAGGCACAATTTCAGGGCTAGTCTGGGTTACATAATGAGTTTGAGGCCACCCTAAGGGTACACTGTGAAATCCTAATTCATGGGCGGTGGGGGGAAAGACAAAGGAGAAAAAGCTGTTGTATAAGGTGGTAACTTCAGCTGAGAACAGTGTGTGAAAGCTGAGTGTGGTGGCACATGCCTTTAATCCCAACACTTGGGAGACAGGCAGATCTCTGTGACATCAAGGACAGTGTGGTCTACATAGTAAGTTCCAGGCCAGCTGGAGCTACAGGGAGGCCCTGTCTTTTTTTTTTTTTTTTTTTTTTAAAAAGGGTTTATATTATTTCAATAATATATGTATACATATTTCAATTCCTATCTTATTTTTCAATTAAAAAAAAAATCTGTCACACAGTGATTTACTATTCCTTTTTCCCTTAGGGAAAAATTAACCATTGGATGCCGCCAACTTATTGAGATGGAATATACCATGCAGCAGTGCAATGCATCTGTCTATATGGAGGCCAAAAACAGAGGATGGTGTGAAGACATGCTCAACAACAGGACTTAAGTTCTTAAGAGGACTGGCATCTATCTTCATGAATAACATAGTCACTTTCAACCTGGTCACTTTTTTGAACGAAACCTAAGAGAATTGTTAAGAAATCCTTCAAAAATACAAAAAAAAAAAAAAAAAAATTAAAAAAAAAAAAAAAAAAAAAAAAAAAAAAAAAAAAAATGTGTTTTATTGGCCATCTCCTTGCATCCGCTGTCGAATAAACTGTGGACTCAACTTTTCTGGAGTTGACAGTACTTCCATACCTCTACTTCTGATACTGAGCCAGTGTCTAGTGTCTCTAAGAGGAGACCCATCTTCTCAGTGATCCTGAGGCAGGAATCACTGTGGCATGATGGCATCCCAGGGCACAGCATTAGCATCTCTCCCAATCCTGAATGTGGCACATGACCAGACACTGCCAAACCCTAAGAATTAAGACATGACCATACTCACCACATTCCATGAATGAACCCATCTTGGGCTATTCTCAAGATCAAACTGTCATTTATATAAACCTGGTAGAAAAACCACCACCTCCTTCAGGGAAATGAGTCTTTTAACTTAGTTCCTACATCCTATACAGTTTTCTTCTTCTCTGGACATGCCACTTTTCCATGAATTTCTAATGGGGAAGAGCCTTTCTGTAGTTTCCTCTTAAATGTGAAGCAAATTTTTGGAATTAGGTGGCAGTGGCTGCTGTTTGCCCGTATCTGAAACTCAAGTATTTGATTTCTTAGTTATACATTAAGTTGGAAATCCTTGTTTACTAAAATGTATTATGCTTTTGTTAGTATATGAAACATCAAGTCTGATGTTCTACAATAAATGTTATTTTTTAAAAGAACAATAAACTTATTTTAGTAAAATTTTGCTTTTCATTTTACTTCCAAACTGTTTCTGAAATAAATATAAGGTATGATTATAAAAGTGAGCCTTTCCTATAAGAAGTACTTCTGGATGTTCAGTAGTTGGTAAAGGTATGACTAGCTGTATGTTTGCTGGGTAAGAAACCACATGGCCAATATGTGGATGGACAGCTCAGTGTTCTAGCAGGGACATGAGTCTCTGGGTGACCAGAAGCTTCAGCAATGTCAGGTCTCCCTTTTTGTTTTTTTTGAGGCAAGATACTATTATATAGCCCTGGCTGATCTGGTACTGTATAGACCAGGTTGGCCTTGAACTTGTGGCCATCCTCTGGCTTCAGTGTCTAGAATGCTAAGATTACAGGCATATACCACCATACATACCCAGCTTTGCTTTTCCTTTTCTCTTTACTGCCTTGTTACTATTTCATTAGTTTTTATTCTCTAACACAGGACTTATGGATTCCTTGTTCCTCTTTCTCTGGCTTCCCACTCTGGGTTGGAATAACTCACTTGACTTTTGGATCATTAAGCCCCACCATGTAGAACTCATATTTGCTTTGTTTTAAATGTTTTTATTGAATTTTTTGTGTATTTCATACAAAATATCTTAAACAATCATCTTTATACCCTGTCCCCACTGGTACACTCCCATAGCCCCCCATTGGAACCAATATACTCTGTCATCATGTTAAGGCCCACTGTGTCAAGTCAGTGACCCCAGCTGTTCCCCAGTACAAGTCCATCCACTGAGGTCTAGTCAGCCTATCTAGAGTACCTTGTTTTAGGAAAATCAGTTCTTCCTCACCTAACAGTAATCAGTTGCAAATACTTCTTCAGCTGAGATTGGGGGTCTGCTGTTCATTTCCCCAGTTCTATGGTGGGTTACTGTCTGCCTGAGCTTGCATGGGACTTGTGTATGCTGACACCATTGCCATAGAATCATTATTTGCTTTTATGGGAAAAAAAGATCTGATCCTTTAAAGAACGCCAGGCTTTAAAGGCTCCATTTGGACTCAGCAAAAATGCTTGCTGTGCAAGCCTGAGTTCAATCTTCAGAACCCGTATTTTTAAAAAAAGACAGATGCAGTAGTGCACATCTGTAATCCCAGTACTCTTGGAGTGAGACATGGGAAAAATGCTTGGAAGTTTGTGGACCAGCTAGTCTGGAGTACAAAGCATGGCAAAAGCCACTCTGCCTCAAAAAGGCAGAAGGTGAGAACCAATTCTGAAGAGTTGTCTTCTGACCTCCACACCGTGATGTGTGCACCTGTACTTAGACACATCTCACACACAATTTTTTAGTCTTCAATAGGGATAACAAGTGTATTTTAAGCAGAAGCCATCATAAGAATGCCATGCACCAGGGCTGGAGAGAATAGCTCAGTGGTTAAGAGCACTGACTGCTGTTGCAGAGGACCTGGGTTCAATTCCCAGCACCCACATGGTGGCTAACAACCATCTGTAACTCCAGTTGCAGGGGAATCTGATGCCACCTTCGGACCTCCACAGGCACCACAAGACACAGGTATACTTACATACATGCAGGCAATACACTCATACATGTAAAATAAAAATATTTTTAAAAGAATGTCATATACCATAAGAGACTGATGGGGGAAGCCTCACCAGAGGGACTTTCTACATCATACCCTTGGCCTTGCTGTACTAAGGAACACATTATTAAATTTGTGAAGAGCATCTAGAGCTAGTGTGGTAGCACACACATCTATAATCCCAGCACTTGGCGGGTAGAGGCAGGAGGATCAGGAGTTCAAAGTCATTCTCAGCTATATAGTTTGAGGCCAGCCTGGCTACATTAAACTCTTCATCTCCAAAATAATAAAAAATTTCATGCAGGGGCATGGTGGCATGCCTTTAATCCCAGCACTGAGAGGCAAAGACAAGCGGATCTCTATGAGATCAAGGACAGCCTTGTTAAATTCCAGGCCAGCTGGGGCTACAGGCAGACCCCCCCCCCCCAAAAAAAAAAACAAAATCCCAAAATCCATGCTTTGATCCCATTGTATTATTTTTTTCTGACTTAATTTTACAAAAAAATGATTATTTCCTTCCTAGGAGAGGATACGGTGGGTTTGGTGAGTCCCCAGCTCTCTCCATATTTAGGGCCAAGAAAAAATGACTAAAGAATCTAAAGTATGTTATACTCAAGATACACAACTTTTATAAACAGGTCAGTTTCACTTTCACAATGTAGGTCTCCTGTCTTATGAAAGACCACGTAATGGAATTGAAGTGCCTCTTCCTTGATATTTTAAATGCTATGTTAATGGAGAACACAAGTTCTTTTCAGGGTCAATCCATGTTTATTCAGATGTTGTCTTATCCTGGTCCTACTGCTTACATTCCTGACCTTAAGAAGTGATGCTTCTCATAGCTCTTAGACAAACTAGAAAATGCAGTCATCTTATATTTTCATTTGCTCTTGGTTCTTTTGTTAGTAAACCCTTTGTTTTTTGAGACAAGGTCTCACTATGTAGCCCCAGCTAGCCTGGGACTTGGTATGTAGACCATCCCAAGGCTGGCTTCATCTCAGTTATGCCTCTGCTTCCGAAGTGCTGGGATTACCAGCTAATGTGCCATTACATTCAGCTAATAAACCCATTTGAGTGAACTTAACTCCATGCGGGCAGGAACTACATGGTTCCTGGTATTTAACATTGTGGTCAATCGTTGACTAGTGGGCTCTACCTTTGCTTACAAAAATTTGACTTGAAAGCTCTGTGGATATGCATTGGGTAAAACCACTAAGTAAACTCAATTACATTTGTATTAGATCTTGAAATGTGCCCCACAAAAATATGTGGAATCAGAGTACCCTCAAAAGTTGCCTTTCCTAAAATATTTAGTATTATATAAACATGCATTTAAAACTATCTGGGAAAGGGGCAGAACGAGGACATGGAGCTCAGTCCAAGAGGACTCATTAATAATGAGGGCTTGAATTTGATCCCCAGCTCCCATGTAAAGAAGCCCAGCATGGTGGTGCATGCCTATAATCCCAGTGCAGGGGAAGACAAGAGGATCCCTGGGGCTTGCCGTTTAGCCACAATTAGTGAGCTTCAGGCTCACTGTGAGAGATTCTCAAGAAGTACTGTGGAATGCACTCAGTGTTGACCTCTTGTCACCACACACACACACACACACACACAGACACACACACACGCACACACACACACGTACATGGGCACTCTCCCCCCATAAACATACAAAAAAATATCCAGAGCCCAAGCATGGTGGCTCACATCTGTAAATCCCACGCTCAGAAGAGGTAGGAGGATTGCCACACAAGGTTGAGACCAATCTGGTCTACCCAATGAATTCCATGCCTGCCAAGGATACATAGCATGACAGTGTCCCAAGAAACAAGAATAAAATAACCCATGGGGCTGGGTGTGACACACTTGTAATCCCGGCACTCAGGACTAAAACAGGATTGCTGAGTTCAAGGCCAGTCCAGGCTACATAGCAAGACCAGCTCATAGAAGACACTTCAAGCTCACCAGTTTGTCAATATTCCCAACTGCAAACTTTTCTCCTTGCTTCTTCCCTCTCTCCCTGACTGGGATGGGATTACAGTAGGTTTATACTACCACTGAATTTGTGGGGTGGTGAGGATGGAACCCAAGGTTTCCTGCATGCTAGGCAAGCATTCTACCAACTTAACTCCATCTCCAGCCCCACAAGCCCAATCTCCACATCCTATTTTTGTTTTAATCTTTTCTCAGGTTTTTACTTCATGTTGCTTGAGAGCCACACATTATCATTAGTTCATTCTTTCTGTTTTCCCTAAAGCATGTTATTGCATACTAATTAACCAGCTGAAAGTCTACTCTGGATTTGATTTCAATGATTACCAGTAGAGGCTAATTGCATACAAGTTTCTGTTAACAAATTGTATATTTTACATAACAAAACCCCATAGAAATGTTGCATTGTCACAGCTGTTATAAATAGCTGTTTGTCATAGCAAACTATTCAAAGTGCCTGTAAAATCTTGTAGTTCCTCCAGCACCTCATTAATTCTAGCTGCTGTGTCTTAACCAGAACTTGGTTATCACTTAATACATGAGTATCATTTTGGCTTTATGGTTTCTCAGTAACTTTTGTTCTGACACCCACTCATCTTTGGTGAAATTATTTTTTTCCCACTATTTTTACTTATTAAATGTTGGGGCTGGCAATAGAGCTCAGTAGAACCCTTACCTAACACACAGATGTGGGTTTTTAAATTCTCAGCACACAAAGTAAAATAGGATTACTTGAGCTTTGAGTTCCAAATATAAATCCTTCATCAGGTATAAGAGTAACCTTGATGGATAGGCTACCCATTGAGTAGTGACCCAGTACATTCTTGCATTCACATTAACTTATTGTTCCAAGTCCCTGTGTGCCTTCTCCAGTCTAAAATTTGTTTGCTTACCTACACCAAATAAATATGCAGCCATCTAATTAGACATATATCCCTTTAGGATCTTCTATTTTCAGGCATCAATCCTATCTATACATACTCAAAAACAGCTTTTGTTTTTTACCTTTTTTCTGTTCCCAGAGGCAAGGCAAGGAACTGTGAAGAGTCCAGGGATGAGGCAGAACCCTTATTTCCTAGCACTAGCAAAAAGTTCAGTTTTGTTTGAGACAAGAGTCTCACTCAGTAGACTAGTGTGCTGGATAGCTTTAGTGTCGACACACCTGGGTTGAGGGAGCCTCAATCGGAATTGCCTTTATTGGACTGGCCTGTGGCCATGTCTGAAGGGCATCTTCTTGATGAGTGATGTGGGAGAACCCAGCTCACCGTGGGTGGTGCCACCCCTGGGCAGGTGGGCCTGTATTGTATAAGAAAGCAGTCTGAGCAGAGGCCAGGGGGGCAAGCCTGTAAACAGCGTTCCTCCATGGCCTGTGCTCCAGCTCCTGCCTCCAGGTTCCTGCCCTGAGTTCCTACCTTGGGCTCCCTGATGAACTGCGTGGGACCTGGGAGATGTAAGACAAATAAACCCTTTCCTCCCCAAGTTGGTACTGGTCAGAGTGTTTTGTCACAGCAGTGAAGAACAAACTAAGACAACTAGGCTGGAAATCACAAAAACATCTGCCCACCTCTGCCTCCTGAGTGGTGTGATTAAAGGTCTGTTCCACCACATTCAGTATTTTACAGGCCATTATGCAAATACTTTTTAAAAATATTTTATGTGTATGCTTGTATTGCCTGCATGTAGGTAAGTGCATGTATGTCGTGCAATGCCCGCGGAGGACAGAAGAGGCTGTAGGATCCCTTGGAACAGTTACGGACAGTTAGTTGCTATTTGGGTGCTGGGATTCAAACCTGGGTCTTCTGCAAGAACAGTCAGTGTTCTCAACTGCTGAGCCATCTCTCCAGCCCCCGACAAATACTTGTTAATGTATCATTTTAACCTTTGATAAACTTCTGTCCTTATTAAGGATATTTGAGTGCAATATTTGTGCTCCACAGCAATCCTTCCTTTTTAGCCCAACCACTGAACTCAATGTTTAAAATCTGTTGCTGGTCTTATGCTTCCTTTCCTTTTGACTCGGTTAATTCACTTTATACCTGCTTTTATTTTCTACTCAATCATGTTACAACTTACTTAGACCCGTCAAATCCTTTTTATTAAAGGAGAGGTGGGGGAAAAATGGAAATGACCAATGCTACAGAAACTGACTTAGCACTGGAAACTCTGGAACTATAGGAATATTCTACCAGGACCCTTTCTCCTTTGCCTATTTCAATTTTAATAATTCTTAAGTCTTGAGAGGTAATAGATTAAATAAACACTAATTGCTCAAGGATTCTAGCATTATATCATATTCTTAAGATAATTACATACAGGAAATTCTAAAACATTCTGAGTAATGGTAAACTAGATGAAACATCAGACCACTATATTAAAAGTCATAAAAGCAAGCTCAAGGGGCTAGAGAGACAGTTCAGTGGTTAAGAGCACTGGCTGCTCTTGCAGAAGACTCAGATTTGGTTCCTAGCACCCACATGGTCATTAAAACAACCATCCTTACTGCCAGTTCCAGGAGACCCAACACCCTCTTCTGACCTCCGTGGGCACTGCACAAGTCCATCTATCTACACTCACTTGTACACATAAATTTTTTTTAAAAAAGCTGGTGGTGCACACCTTTGATTCCAACACTCAAGAAGCAAAGGCAGGCAGACTTCTATGAGATCAATGCCAGCCTGGTCTACACGGTGAGTTCCAGGACAGCAGAGGCTACAGGGGAGATCCTGTCTCAAAAATACCACCCCCATAAAAAAAAAAGGGAAGAAAAAACAAAGCTCAGATGGGCATAGGGGTGAAAAAAAGGGAAGAAAAAACAAAGCTCAGATGGGCATAGGGGTGTTTGAGGCTAGCGTGGTCTATATATCAAGTCCCAGGCCAGTATGGGGAATACTGGTGAGACCTTAGCCCCCCCCCGGAAAAAAAAAAACCCAAAACAAAAAAACTCATACCTCAATATAGCTATTTTGTTAAATACCAGGGTTATTATCAGATTTCGTGCATTCTGTCATGTATGTTAAGGCCTAACCAGTCAAGTTTGTCCTCAATGTCCCTCACTGTGAGTTCATCCACTGGACCATGTTCAGCCTAGCTAACACTCCCTGAAAAACAACCAACTCTCCCTCACCCTGCAGTGATCAGTTGCCAAGAGTTCCTCAGGTAAGATTGGGGCTTCTTATCCATTTCCCCTCTTCTATGCTGGGATTTTGTCTAGTTTGAGTTTCCTTGTTTTATGTGCTATTAGATTGATCAAAAATGTGGTGTTACCAATAGTACTTTTTTTTTTTTTTTTTTTGTGTTTTTTAATCGGGGGTTCTCTTTCAG